CTCTGGAACGAACTACCCCCCGAGATCCGGATTATTCCGGATCTCCTTACTTTCCGCCGCGCCCTCAAGACATGGCTTTTCCAACAAGCGGGCCTGGCCTAGGGAGGATTTTTAAATTGGGTTTTTTAGCAATTTTAATCATCACAACACAAAAATTTTGGTTTTAATTTGGTTTTATTCGGTGGGGTGTGTGGGTTTTTCTTTGTTTTAATAATGTTGTGAGCCGCCCTGAGTCCTTCGGGAGAAGGGCGGGATACAAATTAGAATAATAAATAAATAAATAAATAAATACTTCTTGGGCATTTTTAAGTTAATGATTCAGGAAAAAATCTTAGAAAACAACAAGTAGTTGCAACAATTTTAATAGAATAAATTAAAAAAAAATCATAGTACCTGAAAATTCTCTTTGCAGGATTGCATAATATTTATTAGTCAACTTATTTATGCTTATTTCAGTTCAGCAATCACAAAATACTTCCTGGGCACAAGAAATTGAAGTGGCTGGTTCTTTATGAAATCATTAGACTTTGTGATGATTAAGCTTATTAATTTAAGATGGGAGACAATAAAAAATTAATACTATATTCAAAACAAGAAGGCATCCATTATATAGTTTACATCTAGTAGAAAGATAATCTTTCAAGACAAAATTAATAAAAAAGAATCAATTTGCCGTAGTGTGACATGTTAAGTAACAAATGTCTAAAATGTGCTTGAAGAATAAAGAAGTTTAAAAACAGAAAATAGTTGGTCCACACATCTCAGTGTGATCTATGTTAATTTGCAGCTTTGAATAAAGCTCTCAGATTGGTCTCTTTTTTATGTTATTGGGATGCAAATGTTACTTTGTTTCTGATCTTTGGTTAAAATAAATTGGAACAATTGATTGGTTGATTGATTGACTGATTGACTTAGAGCTGCTATCTAGGATTTCGTTCTTACTCTTTCTGCAGATGACATGCCAGGGATCACTCAGCTTTTTTAGCCAATGTCTGCTGTAACATTGAATTGTGGTCCTTTCTCTTCCAATGCAAACATAAATGAATAGCCACACATATCTCTTTCATCCTAGATCTGCTTATCGAAATACTAATCCATATAGCAGAATAAATTATAGACTTGCATGCACATTGTGTTCTGACCTTTTATCTAAATTAAAATCAGCTTTGAAATGCAATAGGAACTAATGAGCTTTTTTGTGAAATGTGTTTCTTTTGAGTCACGGAGAAAATTATAAGAATTTAATTCGTAACTAATAGGCAATTAATTATTATTTGCTTATCTCAACTATCCTTATTAGTTTATGTATTTTTCATTCTGCTATAAAAGATATGTTTGCAGAGTGTTTGTTCTTGCTCTTGAATGTCCACATTAGCATTTATGTAACAATGAAGTACTATTATAAAACAGAAAACAAAATTAAAATCAGCATATAAAAAGCAACTATGAAAACAACCTAGAAAATGAACCTTGGCAGCACTTGAATTGACATAAAATCAAACTGCTTGGGCTTTGTTTTGTGGTGATGTCATCAGTTATTATCCTCCTTGTCAGGAGTTTGATGTCTTAAATCAGGATTTTAATGGCTTTAGCCTGGGACAATATGGTGAGGTACCATAAATGATGTATACAGAACTCTTTGACACTGAGGAGAATCATGATGCATATAGCATTGAATGGCACTACTCATGAAACATTTTGTTTCTGGAATCCAACTTACCGATTTGCCTGATCAATAAGCCAGTGCCTTCTGTTTCCCACTCCATAGCTTTTAATACAGCTGCTCATACTCCTGCTTTGATCTAGATATTTGTCTATGCAGGTCTGGCCAGATCCATTTTGATAGCTATGCCAAGTCCTGGGTCAAAAACTTCAAACATAAATAGAACAGTTTAAGAGGAATCCCTTTGTTTCTGTCAGGACTCCTGCACTGAAGAGGGAGTTCAAGACTCCATACCCCAGTTACCTTTGCCCAAAGTACTGTATTTTCTCAATATCTTTTCGGTCTATTCTTGACTTTTATCTTGAGTTGGTAACTGAGAGAAAGATATGACCTGTTCAGAAGATGGATTCATTTAGTTGAAAACTTTTTAAATTGCGATTCCTTGTTTGTGATGTGAGTGACTCGCCTATCTTTACTTTCATAAAAATGCAAGTGTCCACACTTTGCTGTTGATTAGCTTCCCTGTGTCATTAGGTGATTTGTGCTGTGCGCCAGTTGCAGCCTTTCCTGGATCAGGACTTCCTGCGTTCAGTCGTTCAGTCCTTGGTCATCTCATGGTTGGACTATTGTAATGCGCTCTACATGGGGCTACCCTTGAAGAGCATTTGGAAGCTACAGCTGGTGGAGAGTGCAGTGGTGTGGGCAGTTTTGGGGGGGCCAAGAATGGCCCCTGTAGCACCACTGCTCCATGACTTACATTGGTTACTGGTCTGCTTCTGGGTGCAATCCGAGGTGCTGGTAATCACCTTTAAATCCCTTCATGGCATGGGTCCAGGTTATTTGAGGGACCATCTCACCTGACTGGGGTTGGCCTGTACCACTCATGCCGGCCGAGGAGGCATGCTGTGGGTCCTGTCAGCCCAAGTATTCCGGCTGATGGGGCTGTTGCTCCTGCCCTCTGGAACATCTTGCCCCAACCCTCTTATCTTTGCGTAAGGGCCTAAAGACGTGGCTCTGCCAGTCAGCTTGGGGCCCCAGTGGAGGTGGTTGATCGAGTAACAACAGATTCCCACCTCCCCCCATTCCACCCCCATCTTCCCCACATGTCCTTAGATTTTAATATTTGGTTTAATTTATTCAGTTAATTTAGATCTATTTTTTATGTTTGTAAGCCACCCAGAGTTACCTTATGGTAAGGTGGGTGGCCAATGAATTAAATGAATGAATGAATGAAGAAATACATTTATGACATTCAACAAGGCAATTCAAAATTACATATTATATGAGAGTTGTATTCATTCATCCAGCTTTTAGCTTACTGTGTCATATCCAAGCCCTTTATTGCCACAAAGTAGAAACAGTCTGATGTGATGTGTTCCAGAAAATATTTAATGATAATAATTGTTTTTTTGCATTAAAGTGTATTGCATTTT